ACAATGTACTATTACATATTATTAATATGTACATGTGAATACCCCTTTAGAGTTGCATTATGGCAAAAAAAGTTGTGAGCGGATTTTGATAAAATTTCCCGAAACTGTCAGGAGTGTGCTTTGTTTGCACTGTAAATGTGATTCACAAGTACCCTTAGCACTATCTGTTCAAATTTGCATTTTTTTCACAATAATCATCTTTAACATTTTCGAAATGACAACAGCTCATGCACTTTTATACTGACTGTCTTAGAGACACACTCCATGGGTTTGAAAATCCCCCAAATGCTTATTTTGCCATCCATAGCTTCTTATGATACCTCAAAAAAACGATTTAAGCACTTAAACATTTTTTTATGGAGCTTACTTGATGTTGATATTTGCGTAGGAGCATATACACTGTACGTGTAAGAAGATGGTCGCTGGTTATAATATTTGGACAGTCATTGTAAACTAAATCAACCTTTATAAATTTAATTAAGTGTCGAATCCAAGTGATCCAAGTGAAATGATAGCATATACACACACTGGACAATAGAAGTGTCAGCCCTACTGAACCAATTCTTTGGGGGAGATAAATGACTGTGGAATGATATGCTCCTGGTATCATTTTATTAACATCAAATTTCAAAAAAGAAACGGTTCTGACTGAACAATTCAACTGTATCGATATTCTGACATTGCTTATATTCCGCCTCTTCAGGTTAATTACTCTGATTGCTCTGATTTAGGGGGTGACACTAGTACGACAAAATTGCTTATTTCCCCGGGAAAATCCATTTTAGCGGGAAAATCCCATGGAGTTGCCCTTTAAACAATGATGATTCTGGTTACGTTAATAAAAATTAACATCTACCATTAACTCCCGTAAATTTTTTTATTCAAAAAGTATACATAATTTAGCAAAAGAAACGCAGGTTTTGTTATGTCTCTGGTTTTATTATACTTTTTCATACAATAATGTTGCCTAAAGGGTAGACTATTGCTCAGTAACGTGTGCGCCCTACCCAGGGGCAGATCCAGGATTATTTGAAGGGGGCCCGGTTTTTAGGAATGACAGGCCGCAGATGCGAAGCCTACCCTTACCCCCTCCCCCCCCCCAAAAAAAAATGGGGGGTATTTTAGAGGGTGAGCGGTGCCATTTGGTAGAACTACGTTTAGAACTACGACTCAGCTAGTCAAAATTCTCATTTTAAGAGGGGACCATTGATGTGATTCTTTTTTCAGAAATCAAAAGGGGGTCAGGACACCCCTCCCTTAAATCCGCCATTGCTCTCCTGGCAGCAATCCAGCGAGGGTAGTGCCCTCCTTCTCATAAACTGCACGAGACCTTTTATGTTGACCTGAGTCGTCCTCCTCCATTCTTCTTCCACCAATGAATAAGAGGTAACTATTTCAGTAATTCGCGAGCAGATCGCCATGGAAAGAAATATTTCTGTACACCACGGTTGTGAATATGTATTTTCATAGAAGATGGGATGATTTTCAAGTCGGTGTCATAATTCTTGAAGTAAAAGATTCGCGTATGTATTTGTCATTCCGCTATCACGAAATCGGTAAATAAATTATAGGAGACTATAAGACGAAAAATATACTGGGAATTACAAGAGAGAGATCTAAGAAAGACCATGAGTAAAATCAATTGCCTCGATTGTTTGTAAAATACACTGTACTGACATAACAGATTTTTTTCTTTTCTTCAATTCAAATCGTTTTCCCTTTTGATTCTTTTTAGTGTCAACGTCTGCTTTAAAAACACCTGTACTTTATAGGGACCAAATAAAAAGTTCACTTGGGTTCTGCAAACAAAGTTATTTCAAGCAGTGTGAAACCTCCCCTCTATCCCCGTTTTAAGATGTGAAACCAATGACTACAATTTGCTTCATCCGCCTTAACTACATAAAGGAATTCCTGGGTAATATCATGAGACAGTTACACTGCAGAAATTATGCTAAAATGATTTGAGAAAATATCCACTAATATCTATTAAGGAATTATGCAGTTAAATGATTTTTCTAGATAAACAATAACGAAAAATGATGATATACGGATAATGAAGTTTTTATCTTCGTTCATTTTTTTCTTTCCTTTTTTCTAGCACAGACATTAACAAGCCTGAATTTTAATCTTAAAAAATTCGAACACTGCGCGCAGTTTGAGTCTCCTTATACAATACGGACAGTCCAGCTATCGGTGCGACTGACCAAACTTTCTCTATTTCAATATATATATATATACTACGTCTATACATAAGATGAACAACATAAAATATATCAAAGTGATTCCTGAAGATATATATATATATATATGGAAGTGATTTAAGAAACAATTGCTAGAGACCTTCGACACAATTACATTGAGTCTAATTTCAACTTTAACTAGGAGATGAAGTTAAAATGTAGTAACCCAATTCTGTTGCAACTGAAGGCATAATGTACAGCTTGATTATTGCTCTTTTGAATTAGTAAATTACATTAAGAGGTTCAAGTCACACGATTAAAACTCAGACACCTAAATAATTTTACCCAACTTTGGCATAATTTGATTAAAAATAGGATGTTTCTAAAGTGTAGTAAGTTGGCCAAAATCACCATTAAAACCTCCTAAATATTACCTCATATTTGTCATGAAATCACCATACACAATAATTATAACACCAATGCGTTTAAGTATAATTAATTAAATCAAGGGTGTACTAATGCAGTAGTTAAATGCTGCATTTAGGCCTAAATCGGTTAAAAACTCCACCCAAGTGTGAGCGCGCCTTTGACTTAAATATTTGCAGATTTCTAATAAGACTCGATTTTATTAAAGATAAATCAAATAACATGGAAAAGTACCAAGTTAATAACTAGAGCGACCCTGTTGATTTAACAGCCAAGTCTATAAGCGCTCATTATCAAAATGGACCCTGTCCGTCCGTGGGGGACAAACGGGATCTGTTACTTCTCAAACACAAAAATATATATTTGGCACATTTATCTCTACATGTTGACTTAAGTGTCACTCTAATGACCCGTGTATCTAAAATTAGCACCTCGTGGGTTTGTATTAATAAGGTAATCGAAGATATCAGATAATAAACAGGGTGCCCCTTTTCATAACAGCTGGTGGGTATAGATCTATTTCAAGGTGTCAGAAGTGTCAGTATCAACTGTGAGGAAGAAATAGGGGAGATACGTGCCTTTCCTGTAGTAGATCCAAGTCTTGGCTTATAAGTATGTCACGTACATTTGTACGCAGGAAGCCCCCCCCTCCCCCACCTTGCGCCCGAAGACTACTGTATATTGCACGTATAAAGTCCCAAAATGTATGCCACTTAATTTTGAAAAATAATGTAATGAAATTGTAGATCGAGCGAGGTTGCATTCCAAGTATTTTTTAGTTACACAAAACATATTAATTATAACTTTTACAACGCCAATTACCGATTATAAAAATCAAGCTCAAGCAAAAACGACCCTTCCAAAGTCGCACACATCATCAATATCAACAACAGAACCATTACGTTGTAAACGGTTAGTGAGGATGACATTCAACCACACCCGGATTAGCTTAGTAAACATGGCATATGACAACAAGTGCCTTTTAATTAAATTATAACTTGACACGATAAGATAATTTCCTAACATCCAAAAATTATAAATTTTAAACTGGGTTCAAATCAATTTAAATTTATAGAATTAATAGAACGGGCAAACATGAGTTAATATTTCTGCGATTGCACCCAATCAGCGAAGTTAAGGAAAATGCATTTCTTTGAGCTAGGAGGCCAAATTAAATAAATAATGCTGAAACCAACGATTTTAATTTGTTAATGAATAAGGTATAGATTTAACAATTAAACGTGAGATGGATCACAGAATTAGAAGCAAAAGATTTGAATAAAAAAAATAAAGACCGTATGTAATTTTAGGCCAGTCTTGAATGACATTATATGTGTTGCGCTGAAAAACATAAGATCGAAGATTTAATGATCAGTTTCTGTTGGAATGGGCATGAAACATTCACTGGGTTTATGGCTTACGTGAAATGTATGTAGCAATGGAAAGGATGATTAAAGTTAAAGTCCCATTGCTAAACAAAAAGATCGATTTGGATACAGTTTTTTATGGAAGGATGGTTGCATTATACCCGAACAACATACCTGAAAATTTTAGCGGGAAAGCTGTGCTACGGCGATTTTATTAGAATCACACGTAATCCACAGCTAGATAAATATGAAAGAAATTTACAGTACAAAAAGTTACTCATTAAAACTTCTGATCACGCGTTCAACATTCTTATGACAAATATATGCCACTAAGGCCGCGTTCGCAACCAGTTGATTCGCAGACTAACTATTCCGTGGATCAAATATGGCGCACACTTAACAGTGGATTCCCGCCTCCCACGTGTGCCGCCCCAGCAGGGGGCAGAGCTATTAAATTTCGGCTCGCTTTCAAGTGGGTCGCACCATATTTGATCTCCGGCCTAGTTAGTACGCGGATCAACTGGTTGTGAACACGACCTAATTCTTCACAGTCTCCAAGGTCACCCAGATGTTAGACGGGTCTTGCTGGGCATGATTCACTGTTGAGGATATCTCAAGCCCTTGGGGAAAAGGCCAAAGGATGTATACCATCCCAGGCGTGACGAGATAACGCTTAGGCAAAATGAAATCATTTTTTCGTTCTTTTTTAGGATCAGACGCTGAAAATACAATTTTCTTGCTGGTGAAAAAATATTTGAAAAGACATAAATGCACTGAAAAGTGCCACAAGTGAAAGATTGAACTTTCCTTTTTCCTATATCTTTACATTATGATTCTAAATCAGATTTTAAGTCAGTCCAATGTTTTGCCAGTCGATTTCCAGAGTCACAAACATATATCTTTCAGGCCATATTATAAACAAATAACCTTTTTCTACAAGTGCGCGTGCGGTGTGCCAGAGCGCATGCGTACGCTTCATGGTATATAACACGTGCACGGCGCTGCGGACCGCAACATTTCGGCACGCGTGAAACGCTAGAAACATGCACCAGTTCAGGGTGGTGCTACTAGCGGTGGTGGCGATAGCCACGTCGCCGCATGCTGAGGGACAATTACTAACAGGAACAGGAACAAGTTCAGGAACAAAAGGTAATGATCTATTTATAAATATCGTTTTTGCCAAGATTTTGCGTAGGCCTACCGATGGATATATCTCATTTGAAAAAAATTAAGCAATGAAAATCAGTTTTGCGTCGCAGATGTAAGAGAAAATCACTTATTTTTGGTAAAGACATGGTTTTCTGATTTTTTTTAAATACTTCGGTGAAAGGTTAGAGTTTCGTATATTATAGGTAAGACATTTTGCTATAATTTTAAGCATTTTGAAATTTATTGAATAGTATTTTATGACCATGAATTGATTTTTCGAAACATGAATTTGCATATTTCGATTGACTATTGCATAAAACTACTTGCCTTCAATAGTTAAATAACGTTTATTATGCGAAACCAAAGATTGATAAGAGTTTTTGGGGAAAAAAATCAATAAAAGAGTTGATAATTTTAACTATTTTAAGAGGACAGTAGTGTTACACGCTGGTGTCGCGTCTTTGAAAAAATAAAATAAATAAATAAATAAATAAATAAATAAATAAATAAATAAACTCAGCAGGTTTGGCGACAGTGCTTTCTTTTTCGATAAAGCAACTGTTGGCTTTCTCTGAAAATGTGATATGTAGTTTTGGCTACTTCTTTCAACAGAGAAAGAGAGGTTACAAGCGTTACACGGAAAATCGATGAAGATTAAGCGAATCGACAAAAGGAAAAGTGACACGCGCGAAAATTTTGAAATCTTACGTGAATATACAAGGCGCATATTAAAGAAAAGCAAAAGCAATGCCGTTAAAGCGCGGATGGAGAGGGAATACTCAAACTTTTGCATTGTTTTTATGCATCGCTTCTCCTTTCATTCTTATTACAAATCTTTTAAGAAATTATGCATTTTTGTAGTTGCGCAGAAGTGAAGAATCACATTTCACAGGCTCACTTGTTTGTTTTTAGCTTAAAATTTTGTCAAAAAAGTGAATTGGGGAGTTATATTCTAGATGTAGCTACCAGGCGTTCGTTTTGCAGTTTAAGTACAACACACACACACACACACACATACACACACACACATCGATACACTGCATGAGAGGTTCTCTTTGGGGTAAGAGATGGGAATGTCAGGATGACCATTTGCATTTCGATGACAAAGCTTTTTGCAATCACATTTTTTAAAATTGGACTTTTCCCTTAATTGGAGAAGATGGTTGACAGTATTTCGCTGACTCTGCACCTTGTTATCAAGGTATACTAATTGATGGCCCGGGGTCGAAGAACCTTCCATGCCGTTCCCTCATTGAGTAAATATTGGGGAGTAGGTCTAATCTCAATAATATAGATAGTGAGGGTGAAAGGAGATTTGTTCTAGCGCTATCTTCTCACTGACTGTCATCTTCTGTCAATATATTCACTATCTGAAGTTTGCGGTTCCCGTCTGGGAGAGTATGTGCCTGGCTTATATCATCGTCGGGTCAAGCCTGTAGCAGGCGTGGGTTCACGCGAGGATTATGCAGGTGCGGAAATCGAGTTTATATTGCGTCATCATACGTCATCCACAACGGAGGCAAAGTGATACATGTAGAAGCAAAATGTGTTACATGCAAATTCCCATAACACAATTGAAGCAATGTTATGTCTTTCTACTATGCAATAGGCCAAATAGATACAGGCACAGTTTATTGCAGAGACAAATCGCCTCCTACCCCGGCCCCTACCTCTTCCACCTCCGAAGTTGTGTTTTATTCTCCTAGCACACATTCCTGCCTTCTACGTCAAATCAAATAACAGAACATACAGATTCTAGGCATATTTCCTACACGCTCTTCCACGAACATAACATTTTTTATTTCTATTTTTATTTTATTTTTTTGCGAACAGTGTGATTTTTTTCATAAAAAAACTTTAAATTGCTTGAAAAGTTTGTAGTCAGTTTTGGGCAATAACCACTCATTTGTTTTCTTATTTCAGACTGCGGTCAGGCCGACGTCGTATTCGTGCTAGACGCATCAGGAAGCGTCGGCGAACCAAACTTCAAAAAGACCCTTGATTTCGTCAAACAGATCGTCAATGAATTCCAAATTGCCTCGGACAAGGTCCAGGTGGGGGTGACCACTTTCGCTTCTCGAGTGTCACACCAATTCCACCTGAACAAATACAGCTCCAAGGCCGATGTTGTGGCCGCCATTGACAAAATCCCCTACACTCGGGGCGGGACATACACGGCGGCTGCCATCGAGTACGCCCGCCAGGACATGTTCTCGCCGGGTAACGGCAATAGAGCAGGTGCTCCGGACATCATGATCGTCATAACGGACGGTGTTTCCAACAACGCCGCCGCCGTTCAGAAAGAGGCTGATGACGCTCGTAGTGTCGGAATCAAGATCTTTGCCATTGGTGTGGGATCGAATGTGAACCAGCAGGAACTGCAGAGCATTGCCAACGACCCAGATAGTCAGTACTTGTTCAACGTGGGGAACTTTGATGCCCTTCAGAACATCAAAGTGCAGCTGGCTTCCAAGGCTTGCAATGATGGTGAGTTGAACATTTCAGTATCATTCGAACGCAAACGACAAAGCAATTAAGTCAGATTTCTTATT